GGGACGGGGGGGGGGGGGAGTTAGGGGGGGGAAAAAAAGAGGAACAAATGTAACCTGAACAATAAAGATTTAATAAAAAAAAAAAGAAAAAAAAAGAAAAAGAAAAAAAAGAAAAGAAACATCAACGAACGATGAGAAACATCGGCTGCCTCCTGCACGCCTCCTACTGGGGAATAAGCCAGAAACCTGGGCATGTGCCCTGAGGAACGGAACCGTGACCTGGTTCACAGGGACGCTCAACCACTGAGCCACTGGCCGGGCCCAATCTCTCCTTCGTAACTGGGTGAGTCTCCTTCCTGTGCCCAGACCCGGTATCCCAGGAGTGGCCGTGCGATGTAGGGATGAGGCCAACACTGACCAACAGACCAAACTGCAACACTCCCACAGGATTCATCTTTTATTGATATTAATATGAAGCCACTTCCCAGGGGAACTGCTGTAACACGATTAGGACTTGGTTTCTAAAGGTAATAACATACTGACGTCCTAGACAAAGCACTGGCCACATTCCTCGCAGACAAAGTGGGCTTTTCTCCGGCCAGTGACCGGGTGCCTGGTGCCGCCCTGCCCTGCGTGGGAGCTGGGCCTGCTGTGCGCGCACCTTCCTTCGTTCCCTCCTCTCGCCCCGCACATCCCGGCTCCGAGGCGCCGGCCCATGGCGCCCCTCCCGCGCCTCTGGGTGGGCTTGTTTCCCAGCGAGCGCTCGGGAAGGGTGAGCCTCCGTCTGGTGGCAAAACTAGCACCAAAAGGCGGTTCTTCTCCACGCAGTAAACACGGTCTTTTTTTATTCTCGTTTACTTTTTTTCTAAGGAAATAAAAGTCTTAAAAGTATATGGCACTAGAGTGTGAGACTATACAGCTGCATCGGTCACAACCCCCGGCGGCCGCCCTCAGATGTGGAGCTGGTGCGAGGCCAGCGTGTCCATGAAGGGGCGCACCAGGTTGTCGGTGGAGAAGTAGAAGATGAGGCCGAAGGCGATGGAGATGGGCAGGGCGGGCAGCGCCTTCTTGAACACGGCGAGCAGCAGGAGGGTCAGGCACAGGCCCTGCGGACACGGGGGGTGGGGGGGCAGTCAGACGGCCTGGCCTGGGTGCAGGGCCAGGACACCCACAGCCTCCCGGGTCCCCCCGACAGCTGAGGGCGGAGGACAGTTCCCCCCTAACTCCCTGCATATCAGTGTGTGAACCCGAAAGCGGCTCCTGACTCGGCACGTCGCTGTCCGCCAGACCACCTGCCTGCTGCCTGCCCACAGCAGGGACACGCGACCTGAGGGCAGCGGCCGCCCCTCGGGACACACGTTTCTAGAATTGGATGGGCTCGACTGAATGCTGGCACCACGGGAATCTAAGACGGCGTGTGCCTCCTCCCTCGGTCCTGCCCGCCCCGTCCCCGCCTGGCAGATGCAGGAACGGTCAGGGTGGGGGTAGGGCCAGGTGCCTGCTGTGCCCTGGGAGGGGCAGGGCTTCAGGTCCCCCAGTGCAGAGGGGGCGGAGCCTGGGGTCCAGCACCCTCCCCGATGCACCGTGGACACAAAATCTCCAAAGAACTGGACCGGAGCCTGAACGTGCCACGTGGTGCAGGGGTTCGCCCCTCAGAGCCTCTGCCCTGAGATGCAGTCATCACAGTTCGTTTCCCCCAGATGTCCGTCCGGCCACCTTAAGTGACTACAGGAGCCTCCCAATTCCACTGCTGGGGTTCAAAGTGATGGGGTCCCCTCCTGAACCCTGGGAGACCCTGGGTTCAGAACGGCATGGGGTGTGGGTGGCACGGAGGGAACGCGCCAGCCCTGGAGTCAGAGACTGAGCTCACCGGCGTGTGCGCCCAGGCAAGGCCCTCAACCTGTTCCCTCTGCCGTGACCTCAGGTGTCATGACCCCAGCGCACAGCTGCCCGTGCACCTGGCCACCTGGCGTGCCTGCTCGGTGGCATCAGAGCCCCAGACCCCTCCCTGCACCTCCCTGCGTCTGTGGGCGCCCAGAGCCCGCACATCTCGGTCTCACGCTGAGGATCTTGGAAACCCTGCCCGGCCCCATCACTTCTCCCTCCAGGGGCCACAGCACCTGAACATCCCCGGGGGCCCCAGGAAGACCTCGGGACCCACTGCCCACTCACGATGAGGATGGCCACGAAGCAGGCCAGCGTGGTGTTCCAGTCCCCGCTGCCCGTGGCCGCCGCCTTGCCCACCAGCACGCTATAGAAGATGAAGTCTCCGAGGCCCAGCTTCACGCCTCCTGTGTGGGCGAGACAGTCCATCATCCCAGGGGAGGCAGCAGCCGGACACCAGGGGCCCAGAGGAGAGCCCTGGGCGCTCAGGGGGCCGGCGGGGTCGCTTCGCCACCGGCCCCGCTCAGCTGGCCTCTGGGGCAAGGACCGGCTGCCTCGGAAAACCGTAGCCAGCGGGACAAGGGGGAACCCAGGGGCTGGGCGACCTGCAATCCGGGCTGTGAAAAGCTGGCATGTCTGAGAACTCGGGCAAAACTGGTGCTTAAAAACCAAAAAATCCTGGTGCTTGGCACTTACTTAGAAAAAAGTCAAATAAAATGCATTGTCCAGAGTTGGTGGGAGGCCGTGCAACTCAGTGCTGAGTTTGAATCACAAGCGCCCTTTAGGGATTTAACTTCACTGCTTGTGAGAACATGCACCACTCCCAGCGGTCCTCTGCAGACCTTTCCCCTTAGAAATAGGGAACGTACTTGCAAGCAGCCCATCCCTTACTGAACAGCGAATGAGAGGTTCTGGGATGCTTTCGTGTTGTCTCTTTTATACAACTGCCCCTGGACACTGCACAGGGCAACTTTCTTCACCGCAGACAGTGAGAATCTATATCTATATATAAAAGCCCAATATGCAAAGTGTCCCCTTGGGAGTTCGAGTTCGACAACTGGGAGTTCGATCGCTCGCTCGCTATGACATGCACTGACCACCAGGGGGCGGCGCGGAATGAAGGAAGGCCCTGGCCAGCAGCCAGGGAAGGGAGGCCCTGGCTGGCAGCCGACAGCCGCTAGGGACCCTACCCTAGTGCACTGGGCCTCTAGTGTTCCTATAACAAACCTGAGTCGGCCTGTATCAAGGGAACTGCTCGCCTCCTCTGCCCCCACGCCCTCCTCC